ACTGCATCGATTGCGTCGAACGCGCGATTGAAGCGCTGCCGTCGCGAAGTCCGAACGCTGCCTTAGCGGGGTTACACCTCCCATTTTCCGTATTTTGGAATCTAGCCACCTCAAGAAGTTGACCAAGCAGACTGGATAAATGGATAACAACAGAGCAGTTCTGTTGGTTAGATTTCATAGCTCTGATGGCACCTTCATTCAGAGAAGAGTTTCACATATTGGTAGACAACTGTCTTAATTGATGCACAAGCGCAGCGATTCTTCCTACACCATGATGACCATGAGTTTTCGTATCACATGAGGTATAACCAACTACTTCGATATCTCACCTGAATCTTCAAAGGATGCAGTAGAACTCTACGAAGGAGCTGTTCATCCTTTCGAAAATCTTCAACATGCTTTCGGAAAAGCTCCATATCATTGAAGTGCGTCAACGCTGTTGAAAGATGCCTTAACCAGTAACGACAATGAAACTGTATGCTCTTATCCAAGGACGTCTTTTCCATGTGCGAGAAGAATGAGTCGGCAGGTACATAAAAGTAATACATCCGTCATCTGAGAGCGCGCGGAAATAAGGTTGAAGGGTAGTGGTTCCCGGATGCCGTTTAACACACTTGGCCACGCTACCCTCAAGGTACAAGGTCTGTGTGATACCAAAGCCCCGCAGCTAACTTATAGGTAAAGAGCAACGAGACGTGAGATGATGTACACAAATACGCGCTTGGCTTGGGTTAGGCGAGCGGCTCGCAATGCGGCAACGTGGGAGGAGTATGGAGACGACACTCGGGTGTCGCTACGCTCAGCCCCCCCCCCCCTCTGAAGCGCACATTTGACAAGAGAAAGTGGTAAGCTACTGCAGGTGCGGACTTATTCACCTCGCGCATGGGACCAAGATCCCCAGAGGTGAGTGTTCAGTTTGTCTTCACTAATAGACAACATGTCATACAACAACAGCTGTAACAGTAACTGAAGATTTTCACCTGTGCAGGGGTAGATGGAATGAAACACAGTACTTTGGACACGTCAACACTTCTCCATTTTTCCACCCACCAATAACATGAAGCCATTCCTGCAAAACTAGTACTGCAACCAATACACAGAAACCAAAAATGTAAACAAGAATGGCTCAAAGATTACCGTTAGCGCAGAAGCGATTTTGTCGAAAAACGCAACAGCCGCGACGTAATGTTGCTGCTGTGTGATGGCACTAATGAAGTTGAACATGGTCAGCGCAAGAGCTTCAAACTCCAACGTGAACGATCTACAAAATAAACTCACTAAGCCTGAACATTGGAAAGTCGAAAAAGTAAGCATGATCTACTCGTATAATCCGAGTATGCTGCTGTGAAGCCTCATGGTGATCTAACAAGGGAGGTCGTTCAGGGCGTGGTGAGCTTTTTCAAAATGGTCTTGTGCATATTGTAGGGGCACATACGAGGACCAGAAAACTGAGGTTCATTTTCGCTGCGCGCTTCTACGAATAAAAAAAAAAAATAGGTCGATGGTTCGGATCCCACCGAGGACAAAATTTTGCTTTTCTACAATTTTTCATTTTTTGGATCCATGTTTGTCTAAATAATTGGTCCTAACAAAAACATTCACGATAAACTGAACAATCCTACTTTTATGGAGCAAAACTGCTTTTTCGTTCGAATTCGTTAGTATGCACAGACTCAGCTCTTCGGCGCTATGCCGGTGCCAGATGGCACTGGAACCGAAAATAAAGTCTAGAATCGTGATCAGGACTGTCGATTACCCCTAGGAGCAAGTTTTGAGCAAAAAAATTTTTTTGACTTTTTCGGGTTTGTAGGAGACCATTTGGTGTGAGCGGAGTCTCACATTTTCGAAACAGCGATGACGTATCGTTGACGCTACGGACCCCGGACAACCCAATAAGAAAATCCAAGAAGGTCAAAATAATTGCTTTGAATGAAAATTCGTTTTTATTGGTAATCAGTGGCCCTTATCACAATAAAACCTATTCTTGGCGCCCCCTTGGCGTCCAGAATAGCACTGAACGTTCCCTATATTGGTGTACATAACGAATTCAGTGGAAAGAAGATGTGGCCCCAAATTGTCTATAATTGACACCACACCAGAAGTTACTAAATTCGCAATCAGATCCACTGTATAGCCTATGAGGATCAACGTCCAGCAACAATCTTGTTCAATGGTGCGTGAAAATCGAAATAGTTGAATAGCACTCTCATGAGGTATAGCTACTCAGAATGTGCCCATAAATGGCAAATATCCGAGTTATATTCATGCGCAGTCCACAAATGGAGGCGAAATCTAAAAAATGCAAAAAAGCCACGACGCAAGGGGAGCCGAACCATCAACCCCACCCTCACTGTCCGATTGCGAAACCTCCACTCTATCCGCTAGGCCATCCGATGCTCGACTCTGCGTAGCGCTCTAATCGTTGATGAAACCATTGCAAGAAGCCGTTCACCCTTGAGCACGTGACCCAAGTTGGAAGCTCACTTGCGGCGATTTTTCGCTTCGATTCAAATAGCCCCTTTATAAGGACCCCCCACTCAGCAACTGGTCAAAGTTGCAAGTGACCTACGCCGTATAGAGGCCCAGAACGAAGCAGATTCCAAGATTTCTTTTCACTCGTTTTTTACCTTTCCTGGAAGCGCGCAGCGAAAATGAAGCACACTTTTCAGGTCCTTGCATGAGCCCCTACAATATGCAAAAAACCGTTTTCGAAAAGCGCACCACGCCCTGAACGACCTCCCTTGTAGAAAAAACCATATACCAGCTAAAACCTTGTCCATCGTTTCACTCACTCGGTTGTAGACTCAATCTTCATACCAGCTCACGCTTCAATATTGGGTTCTTATCTTTTTTCGTATTGGAAAAACATCCCTTCTCAGAAAATTTTCACATAGGTATTTTCTCGATAGTAGGTTCGCGCTCGCGATTAGTGCCCCTCAATATGATTTCGGCGAGCCTCTTACTACCTCACTCTTCGCTTTTGCACACCAATCTCTTCACCGCACCAATCAATTCAGTATGGGTTTACGCCCTTATCTTTCAAAATGGAAGATGTTTATTTCAGTTAGCCTCAACAAGTAAGTCCCTTCATTTGTGTCATAAAGGAAAATAACTCGTAAAGAAATAGGCGGGTTGTGGAGTTGGAATAATAATGGCAAGATGAAAAGTGAGTGGTAAAAAAATCAAGAGAAACAAGCCGTCCGACATGCCCTTGACAAATAGTGATTACAAGAATATGCATCGAAGAGAAGGCGTGCCTGGACAACTTTTCGCTTGCTAGTACCATAACCATTTCAGCTCGTTTCACCTATCAACTCACAATCAAAACGCAGAGTCAGTAGCGGAAAAGGCGCAGCACCAGGAAGCCTTTAGAAATGAACGTCGCAGCATGAGGCACTGGGTCTTCATCATAGACGGGTAGCTTCTTACGTATTTTTGAGCCGCTAAAGATGTAGATCTCATGGCCTGCCGAACGCACTACCTTCCCCAAGGAAGGCGTCTGCACACCGAGTAAGAGAGAATTTAATGTGACATGGGATGGGTGATGAGAGAAAGCTGTGCTCAACACACGCTTACCGCTGAACGAGATCAGTGTTGTCGTTTTCTCGATGTTCGCCACGAATGATCCGCCAGTTAACATTCATTCCTAAACAGAACACATGTTCAAAATACCGTCAAATAGAAACCTATATAAAGAAGTGAAAGACAGATAAAACTTCAACTCATGAACCTTGCATCCTTTTCAGAAGGGTCACATAAGTATGAGAAAATGCTGTTGGATGAAGAACAGTATTTATAGCTAATGAAGAATGAGCTAACAGATTCTGCATATCCCCCATAACGAACCAATATCCATGTTGCGTCATCGTCTGGAACATGATTGTATAACGATGATCAGTTAGAATGAGAATGATGGGCCAACAGCTCCATTGCGGTGAAATGGTACAAAGATTCCAGAGGAGATGAGCCAGACGAAGACTAATATCTCGCGTTTGTCGTGTGACAAAGCGTAATGTTACGTTTGAAGACAGGTACCCTGTTCCAAGGAGTTTAGGACAAGAGAATGTTAGGCAAGTAAAAAGCTATGCTAATAGAAATTATCCTCTTCGCAATGCGATTGCACAGAGAAAAAAGCTCGACTACAAATTCACGGCGAATAAATAGCATTCTGCAGTTTCTGCACTCGTCGCCGTTTCCCCTTTTAGTGCTACTTCATCCGGACGATTTAAAACCCAAGGAGCTGGAGAAGCTTCACTGAGATATCAAAAATTGATTCTGTCCGATGTCCTATTGCTTATTTTCTTTTCTGACCTTCCCTCTTATCGCTGAGGATGCGTTTATTCTTTGCGTCGGCGTTCTGAGCGTATGGCAGCGTTTTGAGAGTGCGCGAGCATTTTAACGACTACGAAAGATATCATTCTAGCGTTTTGAGCGTACGCAGACATGCCTCGCACATGCTGGATCGACATCTATTCTTTCGCAGTCGCTCAAAACACTAAGAACGCTATCGTGCGCTCAATACACTGACGCAAAGCATGAACGCATTCTGACAAAAGCCATTCAACTATTACAGCAATGTAAGCTACGTGATACGCAGAAGTGTGTTTTTGGGGTTCACAGAAGATATGAAGGACTCCTACGTAATGATGCCAAGGAGAAACACCTCAACGTACCGCATTCCTTTCGAGATACATCACATCCCAGTCGCATTGGTTATCTTCAAGTTGCTTTGGATTCGTGCACAATAAGAAAAAAGGATCTAGAAACCAAAAATGTTAGTTGACAAACGTAAATGCAGCAGCAAATATCACTTACCTAGGGTCATTTCTGTCTTGTGGAGCTTTTCGGCTAACAGATAACATCCAGTATTTAAAACCACGTTTACGAGATCACAGTTATCGTTTAGACGTTTACATAGAGCCTCTGACGATAACATCTGAAAATGATCCTTATCTGCTGTTAGGCTGCGCTCAAACTTTGCGGCTTGGCGTTTTGGGATAACCAGGGATTCTAAGCGAACCGGGGCTTCCAACGAAAAGTAAGGTATAGATATTGACGTGGCGTTTTTCAAAAGTCAGCGTTACGCGAAAAGGAAAGTATCAGCATCGATCGGTGCTTGAAAACGTCGACTCTATCAACATGCTCTCGAAACGCTAATTTTCTTAGAACGCCGACTCGCATGGTATGAACGCCACCTTGAATGTTCTCCACGATTCAGGTTATATAGCCTAGTTTCGGCACAGAGCAACTTTGACAGAAAGTCCTGCCTTCAAATTCTTACCCTTAGCTATGACTTACCCAGAAGCTATGTCTCACCCTCACTGCGCAGTCTTCATATTCGATACCTCTGCTACACTTCAACTAGAAGCTATTCAAGCCAATGTGGTTCCACACCATGTGAGCAATTAGCGAGCACACTGATGGGTAGCGGGGGTAGTGCGATATACACTACCCACCATGAGAATGGTTACTACATTGCATTTGTTTAATTTGTTAACTGACATTTGTTATTTAATCTTCTACTGTTTCTACTGTACTTGTTTTATTTCTCTTCCTCGCTACTGTTACTGGCGCATTCTAATTGACTGGATTTCAACTGTTTCCTCATGCGTCTATGATATTGGCCTATTCATATTTTCCTTGCCGTAACCCGTCCCCTTAAAGACAGTATCCGCGCTCGAGAGGCCTTCAAAATGACTTCGCGCCTTCTGGAACCCTCTGCGCCTTGATGAAGATGATCCCGCTTTTATCCATCAATGGCGCGCGATGAGGAAGTTATCGCAATTTCGACAAGGCTCGCTAGGCTCACGGAGACGGTAGGTGGACGAGGCGTCTGGTCCCGAACTGCATCCGTCCCTTTAAAGCCCGCGCGTCCCTTTAAGCCCGCGGTCCCACTGGCATTTTGCCAAAGTTGGCTCATAGCTCAGCTAAAGGTCTTACTTCGGTCAGGCTTGTAAACATGTGTGAAAGTGCGGAACCATTAGAGTTTTTTTTTGCTTATGGAATGTAGTGCTTGCTTTTCCAATGGTAGGGAGATTTGTTGTCAAGTGGGGTTTGTTGTCATTTTCTTTCTTTTTTTTTTTTCTTGTCAATTTCTCAAGAAAACTCCAGCAACCTTCCCAATTTTCTCTGTAAGCAACTCTAATCATCCCATCGTTGGAAATTGCAGTACGTTGCGAAGCGGCGCTGTAGCGCTACGCTGTAGCGCGACGCTGTAGCGCTACAAGTATGAACGCTGCCTTACGTTCGAAAGTATCCTATTTCGAAAGTTGGGACGCAATTGCGGCTGCCGCATCGAATTCTGGCAGCCACGCCCGGCACACTCGTCCAGGCCCCGCCCCCACTGCTAAAGGTAGGTTTGGGTTCAAGGTGTTCCCGAAGATTTTTCTGCTTCTTTTTCTACTGAGAAGCTAACTATGGAATACTGGTGCATGACAGAGTACAATTGCCCGCAATACTTGATCGCGATAATTGTCTTTAACATATTCTCCTTGCCTTAACACGTCCCCTCAAAGGTAGGCCTTGGTGAGGTTGATAAGCTGGACCCGGAGCCGCTTCGCTCGCTCGCGACTTGCAGTGTTGGCGGCCACTGCTCTTCACCGCCATGGCCCCACCTGCATGCCCTATATCAAGCCCGTCACTCCTTTTTTCCTTTTTGCATGTTTTATCGGTCACTAAGTCATACAATTACGTGTTGTTCTGTTTGTTCTTACTAACCAATGAAATCATAATCATAATCACAGATGTGCTATGGACCAAAGCAGACACTAATTTGCAATCTTCCAACCCAAAAATTTTCGGTTGAGTTGACGATGTAGCAATCACATGAGCCTTTACCTGGACGGATATATGGATGAGTCGACTGCAAGTAGTTTGTACAACTTCGGAGTTCCGATCGCGAAGGAGTTGATAGATACATAATTCCCTGACACAGTGAGCAACCAAAGGATACCAAGTAAAGAAGCGAGTTGACAGGGCATCCTAGAGAATGCTCATCATCTCAGTAACAATGCACTGTATCGCTTTTCTCAATGTGTCATAAATATCACCAACCAAAGAATTTGGTTATAGCTCAAAGTATGCAGAGTCAAAAATGATTGCAAAAGGATGAGTCGCCTAAAACATACCGTATAGTTCGGCTCGGATAACATGCTCAGTGAAAAGTTGATAAGGTTCTGAGGAAAATTCATACGGATAACCCAGAACAGAAGCTCATCCAACAAGCACTCACAGCTGAAAAGTACAATATGATTGGTGCACCCAATGATAGAAACTGCACATATACCTGCAACAGGACAACTACCAAATATATTTCGTGGGTGTTATTTGACTATGGCACTACTAATGGGCAGGAAGCGATTGGAGTCAAACGAGAAACAAGAAAATTGGCCATGGGCAATTTTATCTGGAGCAGGGGCAGAAATAAGCTGAATGACATTTCTGGACGGCGTGACGAGACGGGTACCCACTTGTTCGAGTTTGAAAGCAAGCATTATATTCCGATTGAAGATGTATGCGTCACGGCCAGTATTGCGGCAATGCACGACTTCGAGTTCAGGGGTAAATTTTGACTGGCAAACGGAAACTGTATGTAGAGTATGCAAATTTTTATGGCACTTTTTCTCCGATAAACAACCATTGATCAAACTCGCTTATGAGTTCAATGGGACAAAGCTTTAATTATAATAGCCTTCCACTCGCTCTGCCACTGTCTAGAGCGGGAGAGCACTAAGGAGTCCGGTTGCCTTAGCCCGGCTTTCGGAGCTATTTGCTGGGAAAAAAGCGGAACTCACTTTAGCAGCTTTTCAGGATCAAGATGAGGGAAGAATGGCTTGAGCTTCTCAGAGAAAAGACTCATACGATCATCATGGAATTTCAACCTTGTCCGCCAGTCCAACGATACATCTGTTGCATAAGCTAGATCAACTGAAAAGGGCTGTTAGTTGTTTTTCTTGCGCGTAGGCGACTGAAACCACACCCGTCAGACCTTCATCAGAATTTCCTTTCGTCAGAGCCGAGTAAAGATCCTTATCCATCAAAATCTCGGCCATTGCTTCTCGCATAGGGCCACCGTAGTTGACACATTCCTCGAAAAGGTAACATTTAAATAAGTTTCTATAAAAACAGCCTCCTATGCAAACCTGTAGAAAGTTGATCAAAGGAGTAACAGGTGAAACAAGGCTATCACAAAAACTGGACACATTGTACGGTTCCTCCCAACCTTGCGATTCCTGCTCCTGTGAATATCGATCAATCTGAAAGGAACATTTAGAGTGGTACTATAACTAATAGACGTCTCCATAGACGTTAGGTGCTGGATGAAGCTATGCAAAATTGCTGGACTACAAAATAAACTGCTTATAACATCGAATTATCAGTGGATCCGGAACAACTGGTTCGAACTTTTCGAAGCAACTGGGTTGTTTCAAATCAAGTTCGTTTTGGTAAACTACACAGCACATCTTCCTGAGCTATTCCAGACAGGGCACGTCCCACGTTAGGGAATCCCCAGCGAGGGAGGTCGTATTTGGTCGGAGGAGGGAGAGAGCCATATTTGGTTTGAGAAACTTCTCTGGTAGTTGATTTTTCCTGTTTCACGGGCGCTCTTCACATCGTTGGGACGTTGGAGAGAATTCCAATGGGGTGGGGGTCCTATTTCCCGAAAATCATCCCCAGTGGCGTGACGTGTCCTGATTCTAGATCTACATACTCTTTTGGTTAAAAAGCAGCGGGCAGAGGCCAGTCGCTTGTCTTCTGTCCGATGACAATCGCTAAGTATATGTTTCTCAAGAATGAAGCTTCTTCACAAAAACGGAATGGTTACAGATATGTCCAATGGGAGCCCAAAAGTGTGGTCCGAGTACGTCACTTCATCTATCACGTACTAACAATGTGTCTTGCTATATGCCAGCGATTTTAAGTTCTTCAGCAAAAGTTGAAGCCAGGAACTTACAAATCCTCTCCACTCCAGGAAAAGGCAAACGACTAGTTTCATGAAAATATGCCGAGGAAGAGAAACAACTAGGGCAGACGGCGGAGGAGGTCGTATAGCATTTTCACCGTGACGAGGGCAGAATCTGAAAGAATGTGATTTTTCCGTGAATGAAAGCGCGAGTGGATTTTATAATGTGAACA